ATAAATAAATAAATAAATAAATAAATAAATAAATAAATAAATAAAGTCAAAAACTAGTAGATGTAGTAACCAAAAGCTAATCTCAGGATCTGTGGGTAAAGGTGATAGAAGCAAAAGAACATTGGCAGTAGTCAGTGATTGAGAGCGTGGGTCACTGCATTGTACATCTATCCCTCAAAGATGGCCTCTAGCTTAAGGGCTTAGAATTGGGTCTCTTTGTTAGAAGCGAGCATGCTGGAGGGATGTTTTCTTCTTCAACTGTTGCAGAAAGACTGCGTGGAGACTCAGTTACATAGGAATTTCCAGCAAGAAGCCAGATGTGAAAGGGGCCCAAGGTCATGTGTCCTAAATAGGGAGCTTCTATCTGAGGATCCAAAACTTTTGAGTGACCTGAAAAACGTCAGTTTCTTTAAAGGATTTTAGTCTTAAAACATCACCAGGAATGAACTTAAAATGTACAGGGTCTAGATAAAGAAAACTTTAAAATAACATGAAGGACACAGAAGAAGACTTGAACAAATGGAAAGAAAGACCCAAATTCTTGAACCAGAGCAGCCAACAACATGAAGCTGTCAGTCCTCAAAATTAAATTAAAAATTAATGCTCTCTCAAAACATACCCTCATTGTTAAAAAAAACAAAACAAAGTTCATAGGGGAAAAAAAATAATAGCTGGAAGATGCTGGGGGAAAAAAAAGATCGGGCATTTAATCCAAACACATGAAAACACATAAAACTATAAAACTGTCATTTTGGTGCATAAATAGACCAATAGAACAGAATGGAAGGTCTAGAAATAGATTCAAACATAAGAATTTATTAAGGTAAATGTAGCATCCAGAACCAGTGAAAAAAAGATGGATTCTTCAGAAAACAGGATTGGAACAACTGGGAAACTCTGGAGAAAGAAAAGTTGGCTCTGTATCTCATACAATAAGCCAATATATATCTCAAAATGTATAAATGAACAAATAACAGAAGAAATATGGGCAATTCCTTTAAAACCTGTGGGGTGAGGGTAGGGAGGGTTTTCTAACTTGGATCCCAAATCCAGGAGTCATAAATGAAGATTGATAAATTCTATGTAAAATAAAAATTAAAAACTTTTAAGGCCAAAACCATCATAAGAGAAGTCGAAATTCTATAGCCTATGCAAAAAGCACATCTCTAAGGGCTAATCCTCCTAATATATAAAGAGCTCCTGGAAACTGGTATGATAAAGAACCACCACCTAATAGAGAAATGAGCCAAGTAAATACAAATAGCACTCAATCTCATTCATGATAAGAGAAATGCAAATTAAAAGATGGCATTTTTCACTTAATCAAATCGGCAAAAGTCCTAGTATTTGTTAACACAGCACGTTGGCGAGGCCATGGGAAAGCAAGCATTTGTACCGCATTTCTGGAGGAGTATAGATTCATATAACCTCTCTGAAGAGCAATCTGGTAGTATGTACCTAAATTTTAAAAATGCACATATCCTTTGACTAGCCCTTCCGTTTGCACTGGACAAGTCATTCTCTCTGTGCCTATTTCTTTACGTGTAAAATGTGGATAATTCTACCTCATAGGGTTGTCGTGAGAGTCAAGTTAGATGACACACATTAAGAACTTAGTACAAAGTGCCAGGCACATAGGAAGTGCTCCAAAAATGTCAGTCATGTCCTAGCAGCTAATGCCCATTGAGTTCTTAAACACATGCCACATTACTGCACTGTGCTTGGTGCTTTTTCATGTACTACCTCATTTAATCCTCCAGCCAACCCTGTGATTACCACCAGTTAGCCTCAGGATTCTGAGGCACAGAGGTGTGAAGTGGGTTGTCCTGCAGGATTCAAGCAGGGTCGGCTCCCAAGCCTGCAGTACACTCCCTATTAGGTGCAGTGGGATGATAAACACCTTAAGGGGCAGTGTGTGGAGCACTGGAGAAACGCAGATGGGCAAGCTACATAGCCCCAAGTGTACAACACTACCCAAGGGGCCATATTTGGTTTTTGAGGGAAGACATGGCTTTCAGTGAAGGCTCTGCCACTTTCAAGTTGGGTAACCTTGGGGCAGGGTTGTTCAGTTTGGGTTTGTTTCGCTTTGATCTACTCTTAGTCCATCTACTGATCTGTAAAACTGGGGTATTGCCTATTTCAAGTGTGGTTGAAGGGTTAAGAGATACACAGCTAAGCATTCAGGTCTTCATAATTTATGCTTGCTGATGTGAACAAAAGTATATGGGGCGGGAGCAAGAGGGGGGAAGCATCTAAGAAAAGGGAACAGCATATTCCAAAGCTACAGATCCAAAAAGAACTTGAGGAATCCAGGAGAGGGACAGGGTGAGGTGGCTGATGGCTTTGAAGACCAGCTAAGAAA